TGGTGATGGTGGTGGTGATGGTGGTGGTGATGGTGGTGGTGATGGTGGTGGTGATGGTGGTGGTGATGGTAATGGTGATGTTGATGTTGATGGTGAAGGTTGTGGTGGAAGCGGTGGTGTATTGGAAATGGAATTCTATCACAGCAAAAAAACACGCACAACAAGATCAATCAATCAAGAAATCTGTAAGGGCAGAAAGAAATCACCTTTCCCAGAGAGTGGGGAAGCCATTCTGTCACGTAAATGTCAGGAAATCCGTCTTGATCAAAATCACCAACATTTGGCGTCATTCCAGAAAGCTTTCTTTTATCGCTTGTTTGCATCGAACCGCTTCTCTGCATAGCTTCTTCTCTAAAGTGACCTCCATAGTTAATATACAAGTAATGCCTTGTATCCCCGACTGTTGTGACATACAGGTCTAAGTCTCCGTCCTGGTCAAAGTCTGCCCAGACTGCACCATTTGCAAGGGCACTGGGTCCAATATTTGCGTTGGTAGTGACGTCAGTGAACGTTCCATCACCTGAGATGTCAAACAATAAGAGGATATTATTAAGAACGTAGTCACATCACTGGAAACAGCTTTTTATTACATTTTGCAATAGTGCAGTTTTTGTGAAATGGTTTCAATGAGTTCAGTTGCATTTCCAAATCCTGTTCTACTCAACCATGCACCCAGCAAAATGTGCTGCACGGTATTTACAAAAAGTGATCTCAACAGAAGCGGAAACTAAAGCGGGAATGGGATTTTAACAAATTTGCAACTACAATATATTTACCCAGTGCTCTTGAACGTATTTGATGAACTTAAATATGTTGGTGTTTGTTTTTGTAATTCAGATGATAACTCTTGTTCATCGACTACCACTGCTAGAAAAGTAGCGGTTAATAAGGAATAAAACAAGCATTTAGAATTAGGGGCAAAGAAATTACTTTTCAATTGGTGAGAGAAGAGCTAGCCACAAGAGTCTGCATGAGCTTGTCACTGGAATTTGAGTTATCATTTATCTTTCGGTGATCTCTCTGCTATCAGTTAAATTTCAGCCCATTCCATCAGTAATGACTTCAGATCTCACCGGTCAGTTACAGAACGCTTTATTTTTCAGCTGACAGTTCAAATTTTGACTTTTAAAATTTCAGAATTCTCAGCAGTACTTAACAGCACTGAACAACCAACCATTTCATTTTGCCAGACTTACAGGAAATCAAAATAACAGCATAAAAACAATTAACTTAATTAGCAAAATAAAAACTACTCAGACTGGTAAGAAAACCAAACAAGCTTAGTAAATAGAAAAAAATTAATATGCTTTACCTTGGTTGAATCATGCACAATCAAAGAGAAACACACTTACAAAAAAAACACAAGATACAGACACTAAAATAGTTAAGTGGATGATAAAAAAGAAAGAAAATGAAAAGTAATTTAACCGTACCAGTTAATAATAAGACCAAATTTGTATGTAGGTTTGTTTGGAACGAAAAAAAGATATTTAAGATAACAATACTAAGTAAGTAAATTGAACTGACCGTTGTTTTTATACAGCACGCTCCTGCCGTCAAACACAGTAAAGTAAATATCTTCCATTCCGTCGCCGTTGTAATCACCAACCGCTGCTCCACCAGTCGCTTGTTCAGGAGTACAGTATTGTCCCACAATCCTCTCTTTGTGAGAAGAGTTTTGATAAGGTATTACCACGTCAAACACACAGTGGGGACCGACAGCTCCACTGGTGCGATGAACATGGTTAAAGCCAGCTTGCTGCGAGGAAAGAAATTAAACAATTTTAATAAATAATCTGAAAGAAAGCAAAGGCAAAAAGCCGTTCCTCCAGAACTCACTCAGCATGAGCTGTTGACAAAACGATGGCGAGCGCATAGAAAATTTGCATTTTGGGAAATGAAATAAGCGAGTAATTTCCATCTCCTTTTACCGTACTGTTTTCTGAGGGAAAGACATACAAAAAAATTTTTTCCGTGTGCTTATTGAGTTGTGAAAACACTCTCAAACTACCATTCCTGTTGAAACAAATCGATAGAACCACAAGAAGTGTTTTGTATTTCTCAAATTCTTAAGATTTTTAAAATGACGAAAATGCGTTTTTAAAATAATTACATAAGCTTATCGTCAATCCAAAGTTCTTCACACTGCATTATTTTAAAGCTCTCGTGATTTATGCAGTTAATCAATTCTTGTGAGTTTTCATTAACAAATTCAATTTGTCACATGATTGTTTTGCTTAAGCCTTAGTGGCGGTCATAAAAAGGGTAACGATGTGCACATAACTAGCTGTTCTCAACTGGCAACCGTGATTTTTTGTTTCCCAAAGTTCCGTCACAAAAACGAAACAGACGTGTAAGGTATTTCAGTTACAGATAGCTGTAAAAACAGCTTGTTTCTCAGTACGTTAAGCCAAACGTTTACTCTCAAATTACAAAATGGCTGGCAATTCCATCCTGTTTAATTAAATTTTATTGCTGCGAAAGCTAAGGTTTTGCACATTTGTTTGTCCTTATCTGTTTGCTGATTGTAACACTCCTCGTTCTTCCGCCGAACTCTGGATTACTATTGATTAAAAAAGGAATTGTCCTTATGTTTTATTCGTTCCTTGATTATCGTTAATTCGGTGCCCTAAATGACTTATCAAAAGCTTGCCGATAACTTGTATTAAGGCTGAAAAACTAAAATCCCAGCTATGATAAAATATGATGTTGTTGACTTTCGAAGATCCTCGTCTGCCCCAACGCCGCTTTATGAGCTTGGGTAAATACTTCGTCTGTTATTTACGTATTGTAATGAGTTCTAATCATTTTTAATATTCATGCAAAAATTGTTGTACAGCCAAATTACGGTTTGTTTGAATAACGCATTTGCTTAGAGCCGGTACGGTGTACGAGCTAAGTTCCTTCTCTTAAAACAGTTACACAGTTAAACAGTTGTTTTCGCATCTTTGGCACTTTTTAATGCAAGTACCTTGTAACTCCCTGCTATATCCCTTATACTTTCCATAAGCTCTTTCCTCTGCCCCCTCCCCCCTCCCCC